AGCATCCAGTCCCCAGTCCAGGCTTGCAGGACTGATTTAAGATTTGGCCTTGACTTGAGAGCAGCCTATAAGCATCAGCTATATGGATGGAGGTGTGCTGAGCTTAATAATTCAAAGGGAAAATAAGCGGAAAGTTTGGTTAACAATTTGTCTGTGTCAGTTGCATACATCTTTAATGGAAGAACTTCTGGGCATCAAATCCATTAACGTTTGTGGGCAGACTTGCTTACTTTGCTCAAATCACTAGCTATGCACCTGACACCAACATCACCACCCACTGAGACTCATAGCTCACCGTGATTTATTACCGAAAGCTGCAGCACAATTTCTAACTGTATCCCAGAGCCTGCCTTCACGCTGGCATCCTGGGAAACATGAGCCAAATACCAAAATCTGCCCGCACTGCCCTTGTCTAGAAGTTAGAGGTACATCAAAGACAGCTTGGGGAAGAGGAGAGGGAGTATTTGATGTTGGATCTAATGATCTATTGGGCAGTTTTAATTTTAAAGCCCTAATTCTATGCTCCACTTGATTTTGCAGGACTGAATTTCTTAACCATTAGCATCAAATGCGCAAGTCATTCATTTATCAAATATTTATCCAGGGTCTTCTTAGGGGCTGGCACGAAGCTAAGTTTTGGGGATTCAAAGGTAAGTGAAACACCTTACTTTCTGAAAAACTTACCAGTAAGTAAACAATATTACATGTTATATATAAATGTACACACACACAGAGTCCTGGTCTCATGATGGTTCAAAGCAGGGATTGAATGGTCATCAGTTCCAACCCACCTATGGATCTGTTTGAGAAAAAACCTTGCAATCTGCTCCCTGGAAGATTATAGACTAGGGAACCCTCTAGGGCCGTTTCACCTTGTCATAGAGGGTCGCTGAGTCAAGCCTAACTGAATCCTCAAAGGAACATTTCTATTAAGACTTTAAAGAGTCATTTACCACAGACTTGCCCAAAGCCCTATGTAGTTTGAATTCCTATTCCTGATGGCTGCGTTGATGGGTGTACACTGCGGATCAAAGTAAACTGAAATCCTTGCCAGCATCAATCTTTTCTACCTTTGTGAGTAGGCTGTTTAGTGGTAAAGGCGGGAGTATTTTTGTTTGCTTCATTTTGAAGAGTGATAAACATTGAAGACCGAGTCAATCCTGAAGTCCTGGATCTGCATTAGCAAATGCTTCAAGTCCTCTTCGTGTTCAGCAAACACGGATGCTACCAAGTAATTCCCAATTCATATCGACCCTACAGGACAGAGTGGAACTGTCCCCATAGGTTTATGAGACTGTAGATGTTTATGGAGTAAAAGCCTCATTTTTCTCCCATAGAGCAGTTGATGGTTTTAAACTGCTGACCTCGTGGTTAGTAGACCAACAAGTAACTGCTATGCCACCATACAGGTGTAATAGAATTAGCAGGCAGTCCCTCACCTTTCCCAAGAAATCTCAAAGCAATTGTCTCAGTAACCTGCGTGAGGGCCAGGTTCTCAGCTAGCCTCTCTTTCCTACTTCCTCTTTGACATTCACCTTTCCCTGGCTCTACAAGGATGGTGCGCCTGCCACTCCTGCATTAGCAATCCTCTCAGGCCATTGCCCCAGGGCACAGAGGGGATCACAAAGGAACAAATGGAAACACTGGTTTTGTGCAAAGGAGCTTGTCAGAGCATCAAAACTCCTTGGGCTGCTTACTGCAAGGTTCATAGTTCAAAACCATCAGCCAATTCATGGGAGAATGATGAGGCTTTCAGAAAGATGAGGTTACAGAAACACACTGAGGTTTCAGAAACACACTGGGCCAGCTCTACCTTGCCTTTTAATCTGAGTAAACACCTTCAGATAAGAATAGTCATCATTCCTACTCACAGACGAGGATACTGAGGGCTAGACTAGTGAAGTCATTACACTAACGCTACCCGACTGTTGAAACTCAAAACAGAGATTCAACTCCAGTCAGACCGGGCCCCCTTGGGACTAAAGTATCTTACTTTGATTGGACTACGCTACTTAAATATTCAAGCGTTGAAAGCTTACCTTTCCAGCTGGGTTGCCAAATCTGGGGAGGCAATGCCATACTGCAAGCTTTCGTTTTACACATAAGGCATGTTTGCTATATCTGCTGATTATATGAATACAGATTTTCAGTATTTTCTCTACCCGCCATCTAATTAACCATTATGAGTGGTTCCCTTGGAAGACATCCACAAATGAAGAATAAGGGTGACAATTGTGAATCCATTTGCGGTGAGAGCTTCACTCGTACATTTGGCTCGACAGCATGGAAGGGAATGAGGAAACCTCAAAAAGTTCCAGGAAAAATGGAATGAAAAGAGAATGATATTATTCCAAGGACTCTTTGAAGCCCCCTATCTATAATACAAATTTACTACCAATGTTTGCTGTTTATTATGATTAGCTGTTAGTTTATTTTTTTCCTTCTGGCAGAAATCCAATTTTTCTATTTTTATCAAAAGAGGGCTATAATGAACCACAGCTAATAAAATCCTGGTGATGAGGATTCACAAACAGGAACACGGGTGGGAACAGAGTCCAAGAAAGACAGGCATGGAGGGTGTTGGGCACAAAGTCGGAGCACAGGAGGCGAGCCCAAGGGTGTGGCCTGCGGAGGGTCCATCCCTCTTACCTGGTACCAGGAAGCCACAGGGCCCTGGCAGCCCTAAGAGCAGGCCGGACGTCCCGACAAGGCAAAAGCAAAATAATTTAGGAGTTAGAGAGTAGAAGAGGGATCTCCATAACCTGCCTCCTCTGGATTTCTTCTTACGGTTTTTAGAAAGTGTATTAATTTCCTAGGTCACTTACTGAGATTCACTGGAGAAGGCTACTTAAATCCTCCCTGGGGAGCCTCAAGTCAAGTCACTCAATGTGCGAACGGACAGAGTCCTTCCCACTGGGTTTTCCAGCTCTACCTTTGAACTCCGGGCAAATGCTTTCCTTTTTCAGATTCATACGGCGATTAACTGACCAGCACACACAGAAATGGGAAAGGACAAGGGAGTCAAATCCATACCTTGACACGTAAATTTTTTGGACGGGGTTGTGAGCAAGAGTTTGTCGGCCATTTCTCCAGGACCAGCGCAGCGGGCAATTCCTGGTTCTTTATACTCCGACTTGACCCAGTCCGATAACCACTGCATGTTACAATCACAGTAAAGAGGGTTGGCTCCAATTGCTCTGGAAAGAAACAACATCACAAACGCAGACACACACGCACACACACAAATAGGAAGTGTTGTTATTTCCTAAGGGAACATAGCTCAAAAGTGATGCTCCATAGACCGTTCCCAGGGATCTAGTGTGATGATTTGGGGAGCTCTGGTGGTATAGATAGCTACTCGCTGAGCTGCTAAGCACAAGGTGGGCAGTTCATACCCACCAGCCAGCCCTCAGGAGAAATGTGAGGCTTTCTGTTCCCATACAAATGGACAGCCTCAGAAAACTGCACAGGGGCAGTTCTACTCTGTCCTGTAGGGTCACGAGGAGCCTGAATCAACTCAATGACAGTGAGTTATACAAGAGAAGAATATCAAACACTGAGTGCTTCCCACTGTCCAGAATTCTGGTCACCTGGGATTTAGTGAGCTATCACCATTGTGAACACGTGCTTAGGCCTTTCAGAGAGACATGCCGTCATTGGTCTGCATGCATATGATCAATATCTCCTTCATCACACAATTATTTGCTGAGAACATGATAACTATGCTACGTTTGAGGGCCTGAGATAAACAATACTGTACACTGTTTTCAGGCGCAAAGAAAGACTGTGCAGCAGAGATTAATGCATATGAAATCATCTTTGTTAGAAATGTTATGGCAGAAGTATTCACGAGGTGATTTTGAACAGCAGAGTGCATGACGCCTCTTCAGGGGGCTGAAGGTCTAACGCTGCTAAGCTATGTGGCCGAGGGTTGCTGTTCACTGGACGGCCAAGGGCATTTTAAATCAGGGAGCCAGTACTTGCTCGGGATTGTTAGGAGTCAGAAGGACTCATCAGTTCCTGGTTTTTCATGGTTTTAAGTACAAAGGCACAGGGACAGGCTATGGCAAAGATTCCTCCCAGTAAATCAAGTGGACTCGGACTGAAATTGGATGTCTCTCCCCTTGTAAAGCTTCTTGGTTTTGAAGCTTCTCGGTTTTGAAGCAGGACAGAGAAGAACTAGTTTCTGTGGCTGCAAATATTTTGTAAGCAGAAAAGCTCCTCTTCCTCCCTGGGAGTGGCTGGCCGGTAGGCTCACACTGCTGACCCTGCAGTTCGCAGCTCAAATGGGTAATCCACTAATCACCATGGCCCTGGAAACCCTGACAAACCCAAACCAAGCTCACCGTCATCGAGTGGATGCTGACTCGTAGCAACCCTGTAGGGCAGGGCAGAGCTACGGATGTGGGTTTCAGAGACTGTAACTCTTTCTCCGGAAGAGCTCAAGGAGTTCTAGCAAAACATAGCTAATGTTTATCGCAACATCACTAGCTCCAGGACCGGGTCTGGTCCAATTTGCTTGGTTTCATCTCAGCTGATCCTGATCGAAATCGATGGCGCTGACACTATTAACCAACACGCTCCAGACCTCAGTGCCGACTGAGTTCAGGCAAGTAAACTAGTCACCTCGCCAGGGCACTTTCAAGTCCTAGATAAGTTTAAGTTGCAGTTGAAAACATATTAATTTGATTTATAATATCTCATTGATCGCACTTAAGATTTACCACTTCCCTGCAGAGGATTTACCACTTCCTCTGACACACGGAGGTCCTCTGTCGGACTCACGAGATGAAATCTTTACAGGAGCAGACAGTCTCTCCCCCTCGTCTCAGGCAGCCAATGCTGGCTCTGAACCTCCTTGTTTGGGGTTAGCAAGCCAATGCCTAACCCGCAGCCCCACCAGGGGTCCTTTGTTCTGCACTTCCCAATGTAAGGGGGACAGCATCTTTAATTAGTCAAGCCCCAACATGTACTCATCAAACCACAGTATTTTATATTGCTGCAGTTTGAAGGCCCAACTCGAACCAGAGACTAGAAGGTAGCCCACACTGCACACATGAAAAAGAATCCTAGTGAGTCGGTGGGTTAAACCTCGGGCTGCTGGTTCATGAGTTTAAATCCACCAGCTGCTCCTTAGGAGAAGGAAGAAGAGGTCTACTTCCACAGAGATCCACAGACTCAAACCCCACCCCACCCCCACCACCCCACCACCCCACCACCGCACCCCTCGGCCGCTCTCCTCTGTTCTACGGGATCGCTGTGAGTCAGCACCAGCAGGCTGCCAACAGGTTTGGTTTGAGTTCCTGCCATGCTCATGGGTATGTCTGATGCACACCCTTCTAAACTGAAAAGGAGAGGAGTGGAATACGGTGCTCCGGGTCTTCAGACCTCATGCACCCGCTGAGCCCTGACTGTGCCAAGGAAAGACATCCATCAGAGCTCCCCAGGTTGGAGGGAGTGCAAAACACTGGTGCACATGACATTCCATGGCAGCCTAGGACACCTGTGCACGGCACCAACATAGCAACCGCTGGGAAGGTGGTACTGGACTCAGTCCTGTTGTACCCAGGGTCACTCATGAACCATAGAGTCGGGGCCATGAGAAGGTGCGGGAGCCATGCTGGTGAACAGAGAGAGAACTCAGCAGAGGGAGGAAAGAGCCAGCACAGTCCACGGTGTCTCGTCGGTTCTCTAGTGCAGGCTGAACGCTTTACATTCTCTTTCAAGACACACACGATGGTGCATCCTGATCATTGAGGACAAGGCATGGCAGAGGACTGGGTCTTCCGAACTCTCTTTCCAGGGCAATGGGGTCCTAGAACCCCGAGTTACGCAGGAAGTACTCACAGGTGTGACAATGCAGAGAGGTCGCTGAAGGCACCTTCGGGCACAGCAGAAATATCATTTCCATGTAAAGAACTGAAAGAAAGTAAAAGGACAGTTGAGCTTTCCGTTCTCCAGAGGGAGCCCAGGGCCACCTCCAGGAGCACAGAAGATTTCAGGTGATGACAACTGTTTAAATCGGTGCAGAAGAGAGGGTGTTTGCAATCCGTGATCTTTGTGCAACTGGATAGCTATGTGGAAAGGCGCTAAGGTAGCGCCTATTTCACACAAGAGGCATACATGCATTCCAGATTAAAGAGTTAAAAATCAAAATCAAACAAGGAAATACAGACGTGTTTTTGAAAACAACACTAAACAAAACAAAAGCACATGGGATGTGGAAGATTTTGAAAAGTACAATAGAAAAGCCTGAAACCAACAAGGGGGAGACTGAGACCAGCGAACAACTTGGATACATCCACGTGATAAAGCTTCCACGGAGGCACCGAATCGGAAGTTTTGGGAACGGATATCCTTAACACATGAGAGAGTCGCTGCTCCAAAGGTGTTCTTTTAAAGAGCCAGGTGTCCTGCTGGCACTGGCTAAGTACTTGGCCGCCCAGTGAAAGTACAGCACGTTAAGGCCACTCCTGTTGCCTCGGAGAAAGAATTGGTGCTCTGCTCCCCCAAATGGCAGCCTCAGCAAAAAGCCTGCGGAGCAGGACAACTCTGTCACATGCGGTCACCAATGGTTGGACACGGCCAAACACAACCACATTCAAGTGTTTACAGAAAGGAAATGTGTAAATTGGAAAGCCTCCTCTGTCCACATCTCTGTAACTCCCACCAAAGGACTGGCTGGGACTAGGCAAATAGGGACTATGGGGCACTCATAGAGGGGATTGGTCAGCCTTACTTATCACTCCCCTGGCTCTAAGGATGAGGCATCTTTGAAGCAGGAGCAGAGAGGGAAAGCCCAGCACCACTGGAAGTGCATGTGCTAGATCTCTGTCTTGAATTGGTAGAGGCCCAGACAAGCAGCATCAGTGCCAAGGTTAAGGCTGTGAGACCGAGCAGTAGATGGGTTTCCTGGTCCACAAGAGAGAGGCCAAGGAACCATGTGGCCGAGCGACTGAGGACCTGAGAGAGAACTCGCTGTTGGCTGAAGAGAGCTGTTGCTGTAGGCCAGTAACCCTGTTCTCCTGGTCACTGACCCTTTCTCATCTAACTGATTAACTTCCCTAAAAACCCCCCGGAAGTCTGAGTACTGTCTGTGAGTTCCGTGCGGACACTGCCACAGATAAGCCAACCCAGCATGGAAGTGGAATGCTGGGGGAGGAAGGGGTGGAGTCCGAGTAGGCAGAGGATGGAGTGTGGAGGTACGTCTGACCGCTGCCTCTCGGCACCAGGGAAGGCAGAGGCAGTCAGATAGGGCCTTGCATAGCATTTACTTACTGTGCATAGAAAGATTTTAATGCATCCTACATACAAATAGAAATAGCCAGCAGAACAAGAAATGATACTCTTGCTGGACTTTAGAAATGACATCTGTCCACATATACACCTATGCACACACAGGTCAATAGACAAAGAAAAATATGTACAACCAAAAGAAAAAATTGCAAACAAATCCAGTATTAATTGATGAACTCAGTGGTCTGGAGTGAAATTGAAGGATTTCAGATCAGAAGTAGAACTTTTATGTATGTTTAAAGGCAATCTTTTATGGCAATAAAAGAATGTATCCTTACATTATACAATTTTTTAAGTGAAGCTTTTTTTCTGCATTCCATTCAAAATAAGTTGGAGCTATGGAGCACATATAACTTAATATCACACATATATGTTAAAATGTTATATAATGACTTAGTATAATAAATTATATAAACTTATATAATAACTTAATGTTGTACAATGACTCCAGCCATAAGAATTAGAATGGAGAAAGTTCAGTTCCCCGACATCAAAACTTACTAGACAATGTTATGATGAAACATGATTTTCCCAGTTTCAAATTTGTAGCAAATCTCTAATGCAAAGATCCTAAAAGAATCATGGATTAATGAGGCAGTTAAATTATTAACGTAACTTTTAGATACCTAGGGAGAAAGAAGCCATCTTATTAAATGTACGATGCTTACAGTAATCGAAGAGACTTCAGCCCATCGAAAGTTCGGGAAGGAATACACCGGAGCCGGTTGTAACTGAGGATTCTGAAAGCAGAAGGGATTTAATTTTCTTAGCTATTGCAGAATAGCCAAGTGTTATTCTGCACGCTAGAGCAGACAAACAAATGCTATTTTACTATCCTGTAAAGGGAAAGGTATTGATACTGAATCTATAGTTCTTTAGTATGTCTTGCCCTGATACTATTTATGGATATCTTAAGTGCAGGCAAAAGTGTTCCCCTCTGTGGGCGCCACGCATTTCTGATGCCTACATGATCTGCCCTGGAAGATATTTTTGACTGTTCGTTAAGCCCATCACGCCCACCCGCCAATTATTCCCGTATTTATTTTCTAGGACCCAACAAAGTGTGAAAACTTTGCACGCATGTGTTTGTCCCCTTGGATTTTATGTATCCTCTCTCCCAGCACAGGTCATGCCCCACAGGAGCTTAGATCTGTCGTGTGCATCAGGAATGTCCGATGTCTTAGAAAAAAATAATGAAAGCTTGTTGTGCAATGAATGCATGCACCACTCAGTACCACGTCTTTACACTCACAAGGTGAGGAGCTGGCTCATGTTGCTGAAACTCTGATTGGAAAGGGTGCTTATCCGGTTGTTACTCAAGTCTCTACAAGGGAAAAAGAAAAAAAATGAGTCTAACATTACCAATTAAGTTGAAATATCAGTGATTCTAAGAAAGAGAGGGCTGTTCTTGTCTGAAGTAATCACGTCATTTCACAATCAGCGGTTGTCTGAAAGTTACAAAACACTGTTTTGATTCACAATTCTTCACACCTCATTCTGCTACATTTAATAAGGTGACCAGATTTAAAGCGGGACACCACTGACCCGGGGGGTGGTGTTCTTGATTAAAAATTTGGTCTGTATGGACCAAATAGACCGTTCCCTAGCTTGTTGTGCATCCTTTCCAAAAATCGGGACTGTCCCGCCAAAAGTGGGACGTCTGGTCACCTTATGCGACAAGTCCAAGTGACCACAAAAATCAAACAACCAAAGACTTTCTCCAAAGCAAAATCACCAGACTAAAGCCCTGGGTGTGGAGTGGATGCTGACGTGAGCGTGAGGCTCGGTGGGTTACAAAGCAGAGTAACTGCTTCGTTGCTTTCTCTGGACTGGAACTTTTTCCAAAGCAGATCTTTAGGGCTTACTCTTTGGTCCCACTCGGAGGGTTTGGGCCACCAACCGTTAGGCGAGTAGTGGGGCCCAAACCATTTGGGCCACTCAGGTGCCCTCAGAAGGAGTCACGGGCCATGCTTTCAGCCAGTGGTGTCTAAGAAGCAGTAGCAGGCTTCCCTCCTGAGAAAAAGCTTTAAAAACAAACTCGGAAGACTGAAAGAGCCGCCACTGCAAAGCTCCTTTTTAGATACTTGCGGGGTCACAGCAATCACTTGTAAGAAGTTACTCACTTAGAGTGGTAGTGCCTACCACGGGTCACTGGTAGAAACCATTTTCGAGTCCACTAATTCTTATTTTTCTCTATTTCTAACTGCTGTGCGGCAGTCACACGCTGTCCTACAAATAACCCAGTTTTGCTGACGTGGCCCTTTGGAATTGCAGCAATTTAACGGTTTATTTAACGGAGCCAAATGTATCGCATTCATTCCTGCTGCTATTAAAGAAATAACTAGACATAGAGCAAACGAGGTTAGGGGGAGTTTTCTTTTCTTTGATTTCATTAGTTTGCCTCTTAAACACTCTCCTGTGCTTCAGAGTCAGTGAGCGAGAATCCGCTCCATGGCAGTGGGTTTGGCTCTAGGTTTATGGACTTTCGTTGGTAAAGTACAGGGTCAGCCAGACAGCGGGAGCCTCTCACTGAGAGAGACAGACAGTTAGAGCAGGCTCTAGAATAACCATTTTGAGGATGGTGAAGGCCTCACCGAGCTCCATTCTGTTGTGCAGGGTCATGATGAGTCAGATCTAACTCTATGGCTCTTAAAAACAACAACAATGTCTTTGGTTTATGGCTTTCAAGGGGAACTTTAAAAG